TTTATGTTTTGTGGGTTCTAAAATATTTTTCACAATGATATGATAAATGTAGATTGTTCATTCATTTGAAATGTTACTTTTAAAGAGAGTAAAAAGGGCTTCATGGAGGAGCTAGGTATCTTGGCAGATGAGAAAAATACAAATTCCATTTTGTGTACAAACCTTTGGATGAAATAGTGTATACAAAAGAACCTTTGGCATGCTTTTTTTTTTTTTTTTAGAGACAGAGTCTCATTTTGTCACCCTCGGCACAGTGCCATGGCGTCACAGCTCACAGCAACCTCCAACTATTGGGTTTAGGCGATTCTCTTGCCTCAGTCTCCTGAGTAGCTGGGACTACAGGCACCTGCCACAACACCTGGCTATTTTTTTGTTGCAGTTTGGCCAGGGCTGGGTTCGAAGCCGCCACCTTCAGTATATGGGGCTGGCACCCTACCGACTGAGTATCTTTCTGTCTTTTGAAAGGAAGTGGCAGGTTAGGTCTATTAAGGTTTTAAGTTGTTAAATGTTGAAGAACTTAAATGGCATCTCTAACAATTGGAGTTTCTTATTAACATCATCACTGTAGTCTCGATAATTGGTCAAATTTAATGCAAATGAGAAATCAGAGGTATTACAGCTACGTGTGTAATCAGGTGTTATATCTTAGAATACAAAGAAGCTAATAATCCCTCAAAGTCATGATCACTTTTTAATCTTTGGTTTCTCCCCAATATAATTCTTTTCTTAAATTATCTGTGATGTTAGATTGGGAATTTTTAAATTTCTTCCTTGGTTTTCTTAGGCGATTAATGGAAATTTTTGACTATGTACAGTCTCCTGTCTGTGCTGGGAAGATTAGGTAAAGGATTCTTTTTTTTTTTTTTTTTTTTTGAGACAGAGTCTCAAGCTGTCCCCCTGGGTAGAGTGCCATAGCATCATGCTCACAGCAACCTCCAACTCCTGGGCTCAAGCGAGTCTCCTGCCTCCGCCTCCCAAGTAGCTGGGACTACAGGCGCCCGCCACAACGCCCGGCTATTTTTTGGTTGCAACCATCATTGTTGTTTGGCAGGTCCGGGCTGGGGATTCGAACCCACCACCTTAGGTGTATGTGGCTGGCGCCTTAGCCGGTTGAGCTATAGGCGCCGAGCCAGATAAAGGATTCTTAATTTAACTTTTATGGTTTCTTCCAGTTTGTGTTTAATCTGAGACATAAGGTAAACGTCCTAACCTGACTTCTCTGGTGAAAAGTACAACGATAAATGTCAAGGAAGATTCAGAATGGACCAACCAAAAGCACATCTGTTTATGCAATTGATTCTCCATTCCAATTTAGTCGTGTCATAGAGAAGACATAGCACCAGGGAACATGAGAGCTTTTCCTAGCGTCACATTTCCATTTTATTAAATTCTACTTGCCTGATTTGTTTCAAAATTGAATCTGTTTCTTAGCATGACTTTAATAGTAGATGGGTTTCCTTGGAGACATGTATAGATTTCAGAGTTATAGTGTTAATTTGATCTTATCTAACTTAACAGAATTCTTCTTAGAAAGGTATGCTCTGGTTTAGGTCATTAAAACATCCCACAAAAGCAAATACAGAAGCTATGTACGAAAGATGTGGGGGGATCAATTTCTGGTTGGAATGCAGTGCCCCATTGCAGGAGTAATTTCAGAGATGGGGGTGGGGCTGGGGGAAATGATGTCATTTTCAGGTATCACTCTGAAATTATCCAGCTTTTCCAAAAGGAGGACCATGTGGGTCAGGGTACCTGGCAAATCCCAAACTCAGTGCCAGCAATTGAAGGAATTTGTATTTATTAGTAAGAGGTAAAGGATTGAAGACTTCAGAGAAAACAGAGGGAGCCTGGGAGGGAATTTGTGACATCTTGTTCAGGGAAGAATTGAGGTGATTTGTGTCCTCAAGCCAATGTCAAATACAGGTGTGACTTGTTATGCTGAAACCCAATCTGGGAATGCAAACTCCCATTCATCATACTACATAATGGGACAAATCTGACTTAAACGCTTGGGAGCCATGTTTACAGTCTTCAGGCTGTTTTCTTTTGTCAGACATTTCAACAGATGTGTACTCAGACCACTTGATTTACGGCTGCAGGTGTGCATAGGCCACCCCTTTGTGCATGGCCCCCCCTTTTCTGTTTAATGTTTGCTCACTTCGTTTTTTCAAATGTTACAGCAGTGAACCTGCTGATTACTAAACACCAGTTTAGCTTTCCCAGGGGGACAAGAAACTGGAACCCAGGAATGTTATGAATGGGCGTGTCCCTGGCACCAGAATCTTTGGAGGGAAGCCGACTTAGAAGCCAGAAAACATGTTTGTTTTGTTTTGCAATGAAATGACTGAGTGAGCAGACAGAAATGCTTTCTGCCCTTCCTTTAAGGCTCTGCGGTGGGAGCAGAAATGCCCAAGCTGCCTCATGCAGAAGCATTCTTGCCTTGCTCCTTGTGTCATGATTTGCTGGAAGCAGAGACTTTAAGAATGAGAGGCTCAGATTCTTCAGCATGACTATAGCTAGATAGCACTGGACATAGCACTGCATCGGGGAAGTCACGCAAGGGTCATAAATTGGTTAAACCACAAACCCCTGGTCTGCCACAACCAGGATGGACTTCATGATTGAAGATCGAATGATCTATAGCAGCAGTCCCTCACCTTTTTTGCACCAGGGACCTATTTCATGGAAGACAGTTTTTCCCTAGGCTGGAGTAGAGGGTGGTGGTTTTGATGAGTCTGCACACAATTGATTTATTATGGTCTCTGTGCATCAAACCTCTCTGTGAAGGATAATCTGTGTTTGCAGCCAGTCCCCAGCACTGTCTTCACTGTCTCCGCTGCACCTCACATCATCCGGCATTAGATTCTCATAAGAGGCGTGCAATCTAGATCTCTCGCATGCACAGCTAACAGTAGGATCTATGCTGCTGTGAAAATCTAATATTGCCGCTGATCTGACAGGAGGCGGGTCTCAGCTGGATGTGATTGATGTCAGTGTTGGGGAGCAGCTGTAAATACAGGTGTAGCCACTCACCTCCTGCAGCCAGGTTCCTGGCAGGCCATGGACCTGTCAGGTGCTGGTCCGTGGCCTAGGGGTTGGGGACCACAGCTCTATAGCATAATTTAATGGTGGAAAACAGGTTCCATTTTACCCAGATGTGTTTTTCTAGCCCTGAGCCATTGTTCTCTTTGGAGAGGACAGCTTTTGCAGGTAGACATTTACCAAAGCATTTTATCTTCACAGACGGAGCAATAGCACTATTCAATTCCTCACACTCCAGTGTTGCACAGCACTTTGTAATATAGTCTTTTATGCGAGCAAGAGACAGCCCTGTGTCCTTACAGGAAGCTGTGTGAAGCCAGCCCAGCTTGTCTTGCATTTAGGATAAGTGGATTAAGATGTTGTGAAATTTGAATAGTGACGGTTTTTTTTATTAAGCTCATTTCATGTCAAAGTCTGCCCTGCCCTGACATGAAACTATTCATGATCTTTATCCCACTTAATAAGGATGTTCATACATGTAAAAATATTAATGTTTGACTATGCAGCTCTCCTCTCAGCTTGCTGGAGTTGCTGTAAAACATATGGTAAATGCACCATATCACTCTTATAAAATTAAAAAAATCTGAATATTTCTGGCCCCAATGGTTTTAGAAAAGGGACTGAAAACTTGCACTTAACAGGAAGAAAAATGGCCATCACCATGGAAACACAGAAACTTTCATGCTTCACGTTCGTTCTAATTTAATATTTCAGGGACTCTAAATTCTGCCCGGTTAAGCAGATGAGAACCGATACTAGGATGCTCCTTGTGTGTTGGCGATCACTGGGGAATGTGTGGATTATCGTAGAGGGAAAAGAGGCCCCTGAAGGATCTAAAGCCAGGAAACAGCAGGAGCAGAGTGTCTGGACAGACATGGCTTCCCTCACCCCCAGCTATAAGTGTACCTAATACTGTGGTCAGAAGGGGAGGCTCTTAGCTGTATTTAGCATCATACATTCATTGTATTAGTTGCATAAAAGAATATCTATGGTGACACTTGCCTGCAGTCCTGGCTACTCTGGAGCATCACTTGAGTCCCAGGAGTTGGAGGCGACCACTGTATGATGATACCACTGCTTTCCAGCCTTGGTGATAGACTCTGACTCTTAAAAAAAAAAATTTATATATATATGTGTGTGTATACACACTTTGCCTACTTAGTAAATTTGGTCTAGTTCATTTCATACTGTATTATATTCCATTGCTTTCAAGTAATCCCACTGCTTTTTTTTTTTTTTTAATGAAGTTCAGAGGTAAAAAAGAAATCCCTTAAGATATTAGGGAAGGCAGGTTGGTTCAGTCAGACCCAATATCCATTTCTGGAAGGGCCCCAAGTGTGATACACAGCAGACCTGATGAACAAAGCTTATTCTTCCCATCGTGTTGTGGGTTCCAAGAGAAATGCGGGCAAGATAGAGCCCTATGTTCTTATAAAACACTACAGTGTGGCTACTAATACCTGTGAAGCCAGCCCAGCTTGTCTTGCGTTTAGGATAAGTGGCATAAAATGTGAGAGTGGAAGGGGAAGGGAAGATGGGGTGAGAACTTGGGAGGGCCTTGAATGCAGCACTACGTAGCTGGCCTTTGAGGATCATTTGCTCACAGCTTTTGTATGTAGAATTCCATGCCGTGATGCGTTATACTTCATCTAACTAAATGCATTGTTTTAGGCTAGGTTAGATATCTCCTACTAGGTGCTGTTATGGACAAATGGGAGTAGGTATACAAAGTTACCAAAATCTGAAGGGAGAGAAACTTAAAATGAAGGAAAAGTATCTATTGCATCTATATATTTTTGTTCTTTCTGCCATTTGAGAACAGATTGCCATTGTTTTTTTGTGGTGGGAACACCGTGGCCCATCAAGAGCTTGGCTTAAAATCAAGTGCTCTGGTGCAGAGGAGTCACTGTGGGTCTTTGCAGAGAGGAGTGATGTGTTCAGAAAGGTGCTCCGGGAAGGTTTGAGTGGGAGAGACTGGAGAGCTGGGAGGAGCTACTGTGGTCATCTAGGCAAGAAACAATAACTGTTGCCTGAATGGGGCAGCCAGCAGCGGGAGTAGAAGGGGGAAATGCTGGAAGCAGAGACTTTAAGACATATCTGATATGACTTTGATTTGTCTCCACTCTTCTCATTTTATTCCTCAAGGGCACTTGTGAATTGGTAAAAAGGAAGACTCAATTAGGAGTTGACTGGGTTTTCTTAGGATTTTCCCAGAGCTCAGGGCAACGTTTTTTATACATATGTTAAAGGTTATCTGCCTGAAATGCTTGCTAAGGCTAACAGAATTCTTATTCTTAAAATAAAGAGACGTTTGGAAGAGTGGTGTGGGAACTGTCAGCTTTCAGTTCATAATTGTCTCCTGTTTGCTCCTGACCTGCCATCATCCTCTGCTGAGCTCACACTGGGGACTCCCCCTGCCGTCCTCATTCACCATTCCTTGTCTCATTGGTTTCCGTGACCTCCCACCCACCTTGGCATCCCACTCATGGGCCACACCCTGATCTTCTCACTTTTGAGATGGTTGTTAAACCCCATATCCTAGCCATCTTTCCAGTCTGCTTTCTTTCACTAAGCCTGATCTCCAGATGTATCACGAATCTCTGCCCTTGAGCCACACTCTGTTTTCTCAGCCAATCTGGTCTTTGCTCCCCATTCTTCTGACTGCTCCTGTGGTGTCGCTGGACTGTGTAGCCAACTCCTTGGATGATCTGCCCCTGGTGCCAGTGTGGTCCTCACCCCGACCTTCTATAGTCCTCTCCGACTCTCATTCAACACAGCAGTCTACTTCTGTATTTGTACTCTATGTATAGCTCTGATTATTGGCTCCCTTTCAAATTTATGATTTTAATATTAGCAGAAACCTTTGACATTACTTGGAAATGTTTCTGCAGATCCAAATTTACACATTTTCCCATTTTCCATTGCAGCTATTTTATACCTTTATTATTCTCTTCAACAATATGAATTTCTTCCACAATGTCATTCTCAGCAGTGGAATTTGTCTTCATTTTATCTAGAAACAGAGGCCCTAAGAAAGAAGTTCTCCTAACTTTATTTATAGACCCTGAGTTATTGATTCCCACCCCCCTCTTCAGTGATTAAACTGCGTTATTCCATTCTAATTCTTAACTATCTCTGAAAGCCTCCTGATGACATCCTGGCCTGTCTATAACTTACTGTGCATATTCTATCAGTTAAATTGATTTTGAGCCCAAATAACAGAAAATTCAAATAGAAGAGGCTACACGAAAGAAGCCTGAAAGTAGGGCATTTCCAGCATCACTTAATTCAGTGGCTTGACAGTGTCATCAGGAACCTATTTCTTTAGTCTTTCATCCCTGATATTCATAGTATAACTATTTGTCCTCCCAAACTTTCCTAGAGTCCCATTGGTCAGGACTGTAGAGTACACACTTGCCTCAGCCAATCAATGGCAAGGGGAATGGGAATTCCCTGATAGGTCTAGAATTGCTATGATGTAGATACAGCAGGGTAGGGAGGAGTGCAGGCCCCCCTGAAGCACACAGCTTCCCAGTAACTGAACAAAACTAGAATTCTGTTTACCATGTAGAAGCACAGGGGGAATGGCCACTGGGCAGACGTTACCAGTAGCCTCCACCATCTCCATCCTGAAAGACTTGCTCCCTTGAATCATGGACACCGATCTTCTTCTTTCCCTGAATATTCTCAATGTCTTTGTCCCCTCCATTGACTTTTTCTCTTTCTTCCTCTTCAATCTTGGCTTTTTCGATGTATGCATTTCATCTCTTTTTGCTCAAGGGTATTTCCTTGAGCGATCTTCACTATTCCTATGATTTCATGGAATAGCTCCACACTGAAAATTCTTAAATCTTTATTGCTACACTGACCTGTACCTCTTGAGCACCATTTTATTTCTTCTTATTTATTCTTGAGTTCTTTATCTTGATTAGTCATATCATGTACTATGGCATGTAATTTTGCCTTCTATTATATACTTTTCCCTTAGTTACAAAATTCATGCCCCTCCCCCCCCCTTTCTTGGGCACTTTAATCTCAAAAAACAAACACAAAGTTGGGCGTGGTGGCTCACGCCTGTAATCCTAGCACTCTGGGAGGCCAAGGCAGGTGGATTGCTTCAGCTCAGGAGTTTGAGACCAGAGTGAGCAAGAGCAAGACCCATCTATACTAAAAATAGAAAAGCTAGCCAGGTGTTTTATCGGGTGTCTGTATTCCCAGCTACTTGGGAGCCTGAGGCAAGAGGATTGGCTGAGCCTAAGAATTTGAGGTTGCTGTGAACTATGATGCCACAGCACTCTACCCAGGGTGACTGATTAGGACTCTGTCTCAAAAAAAAAAGCAAAACAATAAAACATGATTGTCCAATTTCCCTTGCAGGTAGATATGGCCATGTGACTAAGGTCTGGCTTGTGTGTCTTACTTAGGAGTATTGTATGGGACTTATAGAAAGCCTAATAAAATGAAAGCCTTTAGTGGGAAAGTATACCCTTTTGGCTGTCAGTTTTTCCTACTTTTGGCCCGGTAACCTAATCTCTTCTCCCAGACCCCACTTTCTAATACCCATCATGTTGGTGATTAAGTTTCAATTTGCTAATTTTGGTGGGACAGAAACATTCAGACTGTAGCTACAAGTAAGTCCTTGTTTGTCTTGGCCACCATTTGGGGGTAAGGAGTTGTGTCTCTCTTCATTGCAGCTAATGTAGTTCTTTTTTTTTTTTTGAGAAGGAGCCTCAAGCTATCCCCCTGGGTAGAGTGCCATGGCATCACGCTCACAGCAACCTCCAACTCCTGGGCTCAAGCGAGTCTCCTGTCTCAGCCTCCCAAGCAGCTGGGACTACAGGCGCCCGCCACAGCGCCTGGCCATTTTTTGGTTGCAGTCATCATTGTTGTTTGGCGGGCCCGGGCTGGGGATTCGAACCCACCACCTTAGGTGTATGTGGCTGGCGCCTTAGCCGCTTGAGCCACAGGCGCCAAGCCCAGCTAACGTAGTTCTAATAGACATTTATACTCTTGTTACCCAAACAGAATATTCCATAGTTTTCATTTCTCTCTCTGTCTACATCCCAATTCTTGGATATTACTTTAAAAATATCTCTTGATCCTGGAAGCATAATAGAAAGCCAGAACAAGAACACACACTCTATTCTCACGGATTTGTTCAATGTGAATAGTTTGACTATAGCAATTATAGGCCAGGACATGTAAAATGGAAACTCTTATTTTATTAATGGGAATATCATTTGGAACAACCTGTTTAGAGAATAATTTGGCAATAAGTAGTTAGGTTTGCAAGGTTTTAGACCTTATAGCACCATAAGCCTGCAGTTACTTCCAGATAGGGAAGAGTGTCACACACATGTATGGGGAGGTGTGTATGCTCTGCTTACTGCTGTGTTGTTTGTTAGAGCAAAAAATTAGAAGCAACCTAATTGTGAACAAGACGGATAAACAACTGTGATGTATCCAGTCAATCAAATTCTACAGAGCAGCCAAATGAAAGAGCTAGAACTGCATGTATCTTTATAAGTAAGTCTCAGGAATAATGTTGAACAAAAACTCAGTTCATACAGTTAAACAATTGACATAAAATGTTATTAATTGGCATTCTTCTCTATGACAACTGCTGCTGCGCCTCCAGTCAGAGCCTCATTATTTTCCCCCGGTGTACTGTTAAGAGCTCAATAATTTATCCTCCTGTTCCATTCTCCCCATTCCAACTCACTTTTGATACTGCTCCCATAGAGTCTACTGCTTAAAAACCCTTGGAATTCCTACTGCGTACGGTAAATGCAGGCAAACTTGTATCATGCTCTCAGGATTGTTCCCAGAATCACCTCCCTTTGTGTCTTCCCAAATTTGTGCATTCCTTTCTTCAGCAGCCCTCAAAGTCCCTGTGTCAGCAGGCAGTTTCTGTCACTGGAGTGACTCTCCCCAAGTCCCACTTTCTCCTTGTCACCTGTTAGAAGCCCGTAGATGAGCTTTCATGGTCCCGAGCTAGGGTCTTCCTTTCTCTAGAATCTTCCTTTCTCTAGAATCCTTCCACTTTTCCACTCCTTGTACCCCCACAGTTTATCTCACTGGTGGTGTAAGAAGTTGGTTTATTGTATTGTATTCCAGTTTTGACCATGATATGAGCAGATCTCTGTCTTGTTGATCTTCAGGTCCTGGAGCACCTTTGCATAATTTTAGTGCATAATCTGAAGTCGTTAAAGATTCTATTGGAAGAAAGGTTGTTTGGGTTTTTTTCCCTGAGACTGAGTCACTCTGTTGCCCAGGCTAGGGTGCTGTGATGTATTGTTTTTGTAATCGTGAGAGGAAAAGTGAGCCCAGAATTATAGTCTGTAGTCACGGTCTCAGCTTCCTTTGAAAAATCACACATATCTTAACATGTTGAGGATCACAAGAAAGGCTTTTTTTCAAGTTCATATCTTACTGGAACCAGGAGCTTTAGCCCCTTCATGGTAAAGTTAATAAAGGTTGTGTTTTAAGGAAATGATAGAAAGGATTGTACTTTTCAGCCAGGGGAAATCTAAGAATGACTAAAATGATGGTGAAAAGATTCCTTCTTTGAGAATATAAAGTACTTTTTTTTTTTTTTTTTTTTGGTCTTTTCCTCTGCTCATTGAACTAATTCTTACTCATTGCAATATAAATATCAGAAAACATGAAATAGAATTTGTAGAAGAAAATTAAATGTCAGTTTTTGGGGGGGTATTTTTAATTTTTTTTCCTTTGGCACATAGAGATACTTTATATGGAAATGAAAATGTGTTTTTTATAAAAATGGAATCATGTTTTGTAACTTTTTCTTAACTTAATGTGTCATATCAACCAATAGAGCTTCATCATCATTTTTTTAAAATTCAGGCATAGTTTATAACCTAAAGTGTATAAATCTGAGGCATACAGCATAACCACCACCCAGATCAAGATATAGAAAGAATATTTCTGGGCAGTGCCTGTG